GGATGGTTCAGTGGAAAAAAATTAACGCATGATTAAAGCTGAATGCATTGCTTAATGAAAGTACAACATCTCTTGATACAGCAAACCTTAAAAAACGTCGAACATGACCGACAACTCGCGCCACCTCTTGTTTATATACTGTATGAAAAAACGGCATCGAATTTGTGCACTCCTCCAAATTATGATCGGTAAACTGACTGGCCACATTGTACAGTTTTACTGTGAGACACATCTTTCAATTGCTGGTTCTACACTTGTGTATGGGGCTTTATTTGCCTATGCGTTTCGGGTCACGTGGTCCAAGCGAGTTTTCGAAGTCCAGCCATTCGTCTCGGATACGTCACCAAAATGCATTGACCGAGAAGGCCTGGGAAGACACCGTACAGGACTAGGCAAGGGCACTTTGTAACCAGGCTTTCTTACTTAGCAGCCCGGCCTTGTCTAGAACCCAGACCCCTTCAAGTGTTCATTCTTTTTTTTTGCCCGACCGACCGACCCACCATCACAAGAGACGCGGCGATGGAAAACGAAACATTTTTTTGGGATGGCCACACAAAAGCAGCTCGTGAGCTGGCGGAAAGTTTATTTGCAGAGCACCGCATCCCAAATCGGAGGATAACCAGAAAGCATTTTCCGCTCATCGAACAGCATTTAAACCGGGTTATCGTGGTATACGACGTGGGGAAGAAGTGCGGTTTTCGCAAAAAGATTTTTGGCGGGAAAACGTTATAGCCGTCGTCATTCTACTACGAGTTTCAGCAAGAATTTGGTAGTGACGGAAACAAGTTATCAAATGTTAGAAACATTTATGTAACTGCGGCGAGTTTATTGGTTGACTTCATGTACTTTCCTCTTAATCTGTTCATTTTTTCAAATAATTCTTAGGTTTTTCATTATTAATCGAGCCTATCTGAGTTTTTTTTTCATGAATTATTAGCAACTTTTAAATTTTGTGAGCTTGAATACTTCGTTTTTCGTGCACAATGTATTGACATGGCTTTCCTGCATCACACATTAGATACAATTTTTTTGAAATCGTCTCCTAAAATAGAGCTCAAGGTAAATAAGGGGACTTCAAATTGACGACAAAGAATATTTACAACCAAATTCTATTTCTAACGTTATAAATAAATATTTTTGCAACATACCTAGTCGAATTACCTCTAAATTGCCTAAATCAAATCGTCATTTTGGCTCTTTTTTAAAATCGACTGGATCGAAATTTCGTTTTATGTTAATGCTTGAAATAGAAGTTTTTCTAATTCTTGATAATCTTGATGGTAAAAAGTCGTTTGGTGTAGATAAACTTTACCCTTTTTTGGCCTCTGTTGAAGCATTTCAGAGTTTTCGTCCTATAACCTATATAATTAATCTGTCCATTAAGCAAAGAACTTTTCCTGATAATCTAAAAATTGTTAAAGTGATTCCTATCTTTAAACAGAGATCCCGTTCACTGTTTGATAATTATAGACCAATATCAGTTCTTCCTGTATAAAGTAAAGGTTTTGAAAAATGTATTTATAATCAACTTATATCTTTTTTTTCATCTGAAAATATTATCACTCCTACTCCATATAGGTTTAAGCCAGGCAGTACCTTGTGGACTGTCTTTTTGATCTCACTGAAGAAATCTTTACGTCTCTAGATCAAGGAGATTATGCTGTATCGATATTTTTAGATTTGAGTAAAGCAATTGATACCGTTAATTATTCGATTTTATTATCAAAGCTATCGTTCTATGGCATTCAAAAACCTCATGTCGACTGGTTCAAATAGTATCTTAATAAAAGAAAACAGAGAGTTTTTGTAAATGGTAACATTTCTGACACCATACCAATTTCTGCTGGTGTACCTCAAGGATCAATTTTAGGACCGTTGTTATTTTTGATATATATAAACGACTTCACTCAATCTTCTGATTTCTTCTTCATGCGACTATTTGCAGACGATAGCTCTTTAAACAGCTTCAGCTAAAAATATAGATGAACTCTTATTAAGATATATAAAGAATTACCTAATATTTATGACTGGCTATGTACAAATAAATTAACCTTAAATCTAAGAAAAACTAAATATCTTATCTTCCAACCTCGTCAGAAAGTAGATTATATTTCATTACCCCCACGATCAATAGCTTGGCAATGCTTAGAGCAAGTATCCAAAATTAAATACTTA